CCAGGTAACCTGCATCCATTGGGATCCTTCTCTGTGCCAGGCACCAGGAGTTCAAAGAGAAGACATGACTCTTCTCAAGAGGTTCATGATCTTTGACTAGACAAATAAATAGGTCCTCTTGCTTGATACTGGAGCTCACAGCAGGCCTGGGTTCAAATCCAGGACCATGATTCTGGCTGGCTGCAAGGCTGGAGTGAGGGGTGGCATGGTGAAACTCTGCCAAGGGTACATCTCTCTCTCTCTCTCTCATTCTCTCTCTCACCAAATAAATAAACTTAAAAGAGAGAAAGAGAGCAGTAAATAGCCATGATTCATCTTGGGAGGTACCTAGGAGCCCTCACCCCTTCTTGTAGCTCCAAGTGGACCTGCAGGCCTGGCAAGCTTTGGAAATGTTTGCCCACGGAGAAAATGAGCCGATACAGCAGATAGTCTCCAGCTGCAAACAGCACCCAGACGTAGAGGTGAGTAAGTATGGGGAGGAAAAACAGCCCCAGGTTTTTCCTTTCTCTGGGAGTCAGCTGTAAGGATGGGACAATAGTATACTTCTTCCTTTCCTTCTTGTTCAGCGGGAGGACACAGGGCCTCTGCTGATGCCGCTCCCTCTCATCAAACTGAACAAACTGTCTGGTGATGTAGATGTTCTCGTATTTCTGACCGCCAGGGCCCAGAAATCGCTTCATGAAGAGGCCAGTGCCAAGGAGGACCAGCAAAAGCCCTGCGAGGGCAAATAGCTTCTGACTCAGGGAGGACACCACCTCAGTTGCCGTTGTCATCTGGTACAAGACACGCAGAACTTCTCCTTTGGTGTCATTTAGCTGTGCCTCCAGGATGTGACTGGGACTGAAGAGAGAGACCGCCAATGTCTGGTTCCAAGAAACAAGGTCATCAAATAGACTTGGTGGCGTGGCGAGGCCATAAATCCACTGAATTGCTTCAATATATTTTTTCAAAAGTGGAAAATGTATGGAAAAACTCTTTGCCCTTAGATTGCAAGTCATACTGTCTAGGAGACCTTTAAAGTTGTGAAAAACGTTTTCCACGTGTCCAAAGATCACTATTCCTGTGCCGGCTGCAATCAAAGCATTTCTGCCTTCACGTAGGCCACAAGAGAGGAAGACAAGGAGAACAAAGCAGCGAGCATGCTTGGAGCGACACAGCAGAACACACGCGATGACCCAGGAGGTGGCGAACACTATGACTGATGACAGAAACCAGTAGAAGGCCACAGAGAGGAGGCCCACGCAAATGAAAGCAATGAAACAGCAAACTCCCAAATGCTGGATAAAGTCCATCCGTCCATGGCTTTTTGGAGACACATAAATCTCCCAGAAACTTAGAAAGATGTTGGTGCCTGAAGACCAGATACCCATACTTCCTGTATCCCTGGAAACAAAAAGAAACCAAAATCAGAAGTGGCTTTTAAATGTCCTCTGTCATGTACACAGGGCATGCTGATAAACTGACTAAAAAATGGCTATAATTCTTTACCCTTTCCTTTGTGTGTATCCCCTTGCCATGTGACTTCACAGCTTCCCCCACCAAGAGGTGAGAGAAATAAAACCTGACAAGAGGTGAGGTCTCTTCACCCATTCCTGGAATCTGAGCTGGCCTTTGACTTCTTTGGCTGATAAAATGTGGCAGAAGTGACAGAGAGCCCATTCACAGCCTGCAACTCACTCCCACATGCTCTCTTAGAACCCTCTACTGCCATGTTCAGTCCAGTCTCCTATTGCCACTGTAGCAAATGACCGCAGGCTTAGTGCTTTAAAGAAACACGTATTGGGACCAGCAGTTAGCGTAATGGCTATGTCACTGGACTCCCATGTAGTCGACTGCGGTTCAAGTCCTGGACCCAGTGGCTTAAACTCACACCGGGCACGTGTGCTTGTATGCCCAAAATCCCGAGAAGACAATGGAGGAGAAGGAATTGCGGCATGGCCATCCCCCCTGGGGGATGATTTCTCACTTTCTGTCTCTCTCTGTCTTCCTGGCAGGCACATGTGCCCTGTGGCAAAAACCTCTCCAAAAAAAGAAAAAGAAACACATATTTATTCTCACAATGCTGGAGGTCAGAGGTCTAAAATTGGTCCACAGTGCTGCGTTTCTTCTGGAAGCTCTAGGGGAGAATCTGTTTCCTTACTTTTCCCCATTTCTAGTGGCTGCCCACAGTTTCTGGCTCCTGGACACTTCTTCCTCCATTTCAAAGTCAGCAGTGTTACAACTTCCTCCCCTCTGACCTCTGCTCCCACCCTCACATCGTCTCTCTACGACACCCGTCTCCTGCCCTCTGGATAAACTCTGTGACTACAGTGTGCCCATCAAATTACCCAGGATAGTCTCCTCATCTCAAAATCTTTCAGGTAGGGTCCGGCAGATGGCATAGCAGTTATGTCACTGGACTCCCACATGGCTGACTGTGGTTCAGATCTCAGACATTCTGTCTTGAAACTCATGTACATCTGTAAACATCTTGAAACATGTACATCTGTAAACATCTTGAAACATGTACATCTGTGCCCAAGGTCCCAGGAGGAGAATGAAGAAGAGATTGCAGAGTGACCATTTCCCCCTGGAGGGTGATTTGTTACTTTCTCTCTCACTGTCTCTGTCTCTTTCTCTCTGGCAAGTGTGCATGCCCTAAGGTAAAAACCTCTATAAAAACAAAGCTAAACTTTTCAGGTAATCATATCTGTAGAGTCCCTTTTACCACTTAAGGCAACACAGGCACAGGTTCCAGGATTAGGACATGGACAGTTTGGGGGAGAGGGCGTTGTTCTGCCTGTCACACCATATTGGACGGCTGGATGATGAGAGGCCCTTGACCAGTCAGTTCCATCGACTCAGCCAATAGCCATCCAACTGCCAGATATGTGAGAGAGACCCATCAGTATCCAGCCAGACTACCTGCCCTCACCTGAGTTTAGTAACTGCTGATTTATATTAAATCGCTGAATTCTGTACTAGTCTGTTAGGCTGCAATTGCTAACTGCTAAAGACAGCAATATTGGGAGCCAGCAAGCAGATGGTGTAACGGTTATGTCGCTGGACTCTCCCGTAGTCGACTGCGGTTTGAGTCTCAGACCCAGCAATTTAAAAACCTCACAACAGGCTTGTGCGCATGCCCTAGATCCCGGGAGAAGAAGAGATTGTGGTGTGGTCATCCTCCCTGGGAGATAATTTCTTACTTGCTGTCTCTCTGTCTCTCCAGCGAGTGCACATGCCGTAGACCCAAAATCTCTCTCTCTAAAAAAAATGGCAATATGGGCCTCAATAGGTGAAATGAACACTAGGCTGATGGAAAGGCTGACGTTTCAATAAACTACCTTATGTAAGATAACTCAACAGCTGTCTACTGCTTGTGCTCTAATTTTGCAGACCAGAACACTTACCAAGGGCATGCAGACTTACACGTGGGATTGCACTGAGGCCGTTATAGCTCTAGTTTTTAACCATTGCTTCTTCCCTCCTCCACCCCATCCTCTGAATACAGTTCCCTCCTGAGGACCTTACAAGGAAAACAAGAATTTTTTGTCACGGAATTATCATCTTTTCTTTTTTCCTAGACCTGGAATAATTAAAAAGAGGGCGCTATGGGGCTGCTACTACCCTGTCAGTCATGCAGAGATAGGTCTGTGATGCACTCAGAGAGACCCGGGTTTATTTTGAATGATATAAAATAAATTTGAGATTTTTCTCTCTCGACTGACATCAAAATATCTAACAAGTTTTATATCATGTGTACAGGATTTTAATGAGGACATTGATTAATTTTTAAATACTCTCAAATAAATCCCTTCTCACATCAAATAGATGGGGACTGAATTTATGAAGCAGCTTCATACTATTAGAATCAGGGAATTACCCTTAGGTGAGGAATGTATTCAGGCACTGGCCAGAAGGCAGGAACTGAGCAACTAGAGGGGAGGAAATGATCTTTTTTCTGTATTTGAGTTGAATGTGGTTAACAAAGGGCAGAAAGAAGATAGGGAAGATAGGTTAGGAAGAAAAATGTGTAAATTTTTCCAGCAAGAGTAAGGAAGGCGCGCAGTTCCTGTCACATAATCTGAATGGAAATGCTCAAAGCAGAAAAGAGGTACAGGAAGAACCCAAGTGTTGAAGAAAGGTCATTTCCCTATGGGAATTGGCCTTAGCAGAGATGCAAGGGCCCACGTACAAGGATGCCTTACTTCACCAGAGGGAAGAAAATTCTGACGTTACTGGCAGGGAGACCAACAACAGGCCACAGTGCTCTTTTTCTGCAAGCTTGCTTCCTTTCCCAATCAGAGGTTGAACTGAAGGTCAGCGACACGCACAGACACAGTCCCCAGGGAAAATAGAGACATCCACTGGAATGGCTCTGTGCTCTCAAACCTTCCCGGGCATTGCCCACCTGCGTCACAGCGTGGCGGGAGGACTGGCGGGCAGGTGAGCAGGGGCAGGGCACCCAGCTCCAAGCAGCCTTCAGGTGTCAGATCCCCAGGCATCTTCTTTGTCGTTACTTTGGATATGATTGCACATCATTATTTGACCATTCGATACACAATTAGGTAGGAGCTGCCTATTTTGCTGTGTACAGGCACTCTGCTCTTCATAAAGGATCTGTCTGCAGTCAGCGCCCCACCCTACCCCCGCAGCTCTCTGCATTTTATACAGTAGAAACTGAGGCTGGGAGCTCGCGGACCTTGGCCAGTGACCACACAGAGGAGATGGTAGAGCAGCATCCACACGCAGCTTCCCCGATTTCTGGGTGAGTCCTCTCTGCTGTGCCATGCCCAGATGACATGACTCCGTTACGTGACAGGATGTCCATCCCAGAAACACATCGTACTTTCTGTCAGTGACCGTTTAAGGGCTGACCTATATATGGTGTAATCTGTTCCCATGGCTCACTTTCCCCCCTTGCCTCGACATAGCTGACTCTGTAAAAGTATGTTTTAAATCAGTAGATTCTTCTCAAAAGCAAATCAGAAATCTCAGTTATTATTTTTTTTCTCATTTCCTTTATGGGGCCTTATTTTGCTTGCTTCCTCAAAAATTAGTAATGTATATTTTGGATTCATTTGTCCTTTTTCTCGCCTTCATCCTTGTACAGTGAGTTCTTAATACAGACGTTTCTCTGAAAGCATGAAACAGATTTATGGACACATTAAAATTTTAACATGCTGCAATAAAATCTAATATCAATTAAACAAGATATATTACTGCAATTTTGGCCCATAAGAGGCACATGTTTTCTTAACAAGCAGCAGCCCTAATAATATCGTCCTTGTTTTTATGCTGGAAACAGCATGTCACCAAAAAACACCAAAGCTTTCTGCAGTAAGAAGACTGAAATTGTTCTCTCTTATTTAAAATGGCGGGAGGACTGGCGGGCAGGTGAGCAGGGGCAGGGCACCCAGCTCCAAGCAGCCTTCAGGTGTCAGATCCCCAGGCATCTTCTTTGTCGTTACTTTGGATATGATTGCACATCATTATTTGACCATTCGATACACAATTAGGTAGGAGCTGCCTATTTTGCTGTGTACAGGCACTCTGCTCTTCATAAAGGATCTGTCTGCAGTCAGCGCCCCACCCTACCCCCGCAGCTCTCTGCATTTTATACAGTAGAAACTGAGGCTGGGAGCTCGCGGACCTTGGCCAGTGACCACACAGAGGAGATGGTAGAGCAGCATCCACACGCAGCTTCCCCGATTTCTGGGTGAGTCCTCTCTGCTGTGCCATGCCCAGATGACATGACTCCGTTACGTGACAGGATGTCCATCCCAGAAACACATCGTACTTTCTGTCAGTGACCGTTTAAGGGCTGACCTATATATGGTGTAATCTGTTCCCATGGCTCACTTTCCCCCCTTGCCTCGACATAGCTGACTCTGTAAAAGTATGTTTTAAATCAGTAGATTCTTCTCAAAAGCAAATCAGAAATCTCAGTTATTATTTTTTTTCTCATTTCCTTTATGGGGCCTTATTTTGCTTGCTTCCTCAAAAATTAATAATGTATATTTTGGATTCATTTGTCCTTTTTCTCGCCTTCATCCTTGTACAGTGAGTTCTTAATACAGACGTTTCTCTGAAAGCATGAAACAGATTTATGGACACATTAAAATTTTAACATGCTGCAATAAAATCTAATATCAATTAAACAAGATATATTACTGCAATTTTGGCCCATAAGAGGCACATGTTTTCTTAACAAGCAGCAGCCCTAATAATATCGTCCTTGTTTTTATGCTGGAAACAGCATGTCACCAAAAAACACCAAAGCTTTCTGCAGTAAGAGGACTGAAATTGTTCTCTCTTATTTAAAAAAAAAAAAAAAAAACTTATTTATTTATTTATTTATTTATTTTATGAGCAAGAGAGACCAAAAAAGTCACTCCCATCAGGGTCTGTAGATTATGCTGCAAGAGAAATTACAGGTTAAAGGAATCAGGTAGCCTTTTCTGTTCTGAGCATTTTCATTCAGATTACGTGACCAGAATTGCAAGAGGTCTTCTACAATAGACTACTCTGCAATCTACCCCCA